TAACCCACAACTATCTCTTTTTTTTTTCAAGTTGTTTTATCAGACCTTCCAAAGAAATCGAACAGTCAGACATCAATCGAATTACACAAAAACAAATCAGTTGATCAAAATTCCATTGACTGAATCCAATAGACTGATTGGTAACCAAACCAACACACAATCCTTAGTGTCTGATCACTGAGATTTCATTCTGTGCATTTATTGAATTAGCATTTGGTCATTATTGATTCCAATTGTAGGCTAGCTTTGGGTAGTATTGGTCCTGTTTGTATAATGTTTTGGGGTTGTATTGGTGCAATCAATTCAGGTGCACAATTCATACAGGCCTCACTTGCTTGGAGAATGGGAGAATTTTTAAAAACAAGCAGAATGTCATTAAGAATTGACTGTGATGCCCCTTGTTTTTTAGGCTGCAATTTTGTCTTTTCGGAATATCATCAAGATTACTGCATTGTAATGAACACTATTATCAAACATGTAATATTACAAGAAATGAAAAATAATAAAACTATACATTGAGTCAAAAAAAAAAAATAAAACAATATACTTCATTCATTTCTATGGTATGGAGTGAAATATAGCTAACTCAAATACAGTGAACTTAAGGTGTTAACTGAAAGTTAAGTGTAATCATAAGTAAATTGCCTGCCTGATTTGAAGACACAATTGACACCCTACAGCTGTATGTTCAACTCACACACGCTAACAACTTGTATGCGAGTCACGGCTCTCTCTTATGGCATGATTTGGGGGTACTTTTGTGCTTCTGTCTTCCCATACAGCCATAGTGGGCCAAATTTGCCTGCTCTAAATAAACTATCCAATTTTATCCTCCACAATGATAACAATTTTCTAACAGAGAAGAGCAGCTGAGTACATGGAAAGTACAGAAAAGTACAGTATTTTAAACAAGAATTTGGAGACCTAAGACCTCTATGAAATATTTACATCCTGTGTGATTGTGACCATTTCCTTTTTTCTCATTCGCCGTAGTGTCTTTTCCTTATCGTGCAAGGGAAACAACACTAGCTGTTAGCTGTCAAGGAGGTCATGTAACAAAAAAACACCTATGAAAATAGTAAGCGGTACCAAAAGTAGATGTGATTCACGACTTTTTCCTCTGGGACAGATTGAATCCAAGCATATCTATTATAACATGACCTGAGGGCCATGTGGAAACACAGACACACACACACATACACACACACACACACACACAGACATACCAAAAACAATACCTCCACTTTTCACGGAGGTAAAAATTCCATATCCTGTTTAACATGCATAGCGGGTTGCCTGAAAATTCGTCCTCCAGACTTGACCTCCTTGACCTCTAGTATTGTACCCTTCCAGAAATTGTTCCCACGATTTCCGTTGTTGCCTGCAAATTGCAGTTTGCAGGTGGGCATTCCGTGCCCTGAGAGCAGAAACAGTATCGAACAGTACCCCATGGAGCACAGGGCCACACATGGGCCTTGATTATAGTAACCCCCAGGGCTGTGTCCTTAACCATATTGACCTTACAAATTACAAAAATGGCCCCACAAAAACTCACGTATGAAAAGAGACTCTTTTGTGTTCGGTAGTCACAAAAGGTATTTACATGTAGGGAACTATGGGTAAATTCCTGTGGGTTGGCAGATCATTTCTCAGTCCCCGGGAGTGGGCATCCTTCCAAGTGATTTATGGTCCGTGCCATATCATGTCAACCCACCGGAACCCACGCGAAGGCCGGCTCTAAACAGGACGTACAAAACATTGCAATGTTCCAAACAAAGGCTTTAAAAACAATGCTCGAATTTTGAAATGTACGCAGGTGAGAGTCTATACCGGTTGTGTAAAAAGAAACCATACTGCCCAACTTTGATTTTATATTTAAAACAAATACATCAAAGAATATAGCAAACCATACACGAATGCAGTAAGATTTGAGAGTTGATAAAGGTATCTGATGTAGGTGCAACAAAGAACTACAAGTAGGTTTAAGGAGAAACAGCTAGTTTTACAAGTATTATTTACTCTTCAGTTTAAATTAGTACAGAATGGACATTCCTTGACAAAGACAGGAGTTGGTTGGTCCAAAATTTGGGGTAGTCAAACTTTTGGTGTTGGAAATTACAGCTCAATCTTGATTTGGAATGACTTTTACCAACAAAGATGAACTCTCAAGTTATGATTTAGGGTAGTCATTCCCTCGTACGTAACATTGTGCATGAATATAACTTTTCTTGATCCCGTCTGCCTGTGAAATATGTGTCTGCTAAAAGACGACCACAGGGTGACAAATTAAAGTGTTGTGTGACTGAATTACGCGGCTAGGAATCTAGTAGGATGAAGTCTGCCTGGTTGCCAGCACCTTTTCTCACCTCCCCATCTATCAATGTACTTATACAGATTAACATTTGCATTCAATAAGGTGACACCAAATACGCACAGGAATGAATTCAAAATGAGCTCTGTGAAATATGATCCCTCCCTTTCAGGAAATGTCACATAACTTTTGATGTATTTTACTTTAATATAACGTTAGTGCATCATAAATAACTGAGTCAGGACATTCTCATTGTATGTCCTTTTTAGTCTCTTTCAAGTCAGTTTATGAATTTTTTTTCCTCCAGAACTTTCATTGAGCACATTCCTGTTTCTAGCCATAGAGAGAAGGTTATAATCAAGTTCTTGGGGTACAGTTTTATTCTTTCGAATTCATTGTTTCCTATGAACAACACTGTTTGGCATCAAGCAACAGCTTCCATGTAGGCTATATGTGGTCTACAGCAGGGCTGTCTTCAGTTTTACATTTTTGTCTACCTTACTCATTTTCAAAGGCCAACGTTGAGGGAAATTTTGGAACTTATAACCTTCTGAAAAAATTCATCTTTAGAAGCAAATTTCCATTCCACAACAGAGGGATGGGTCCTGTAGACAGCCCTGACCCACAGTATTAAAAAAATGTAATTAGTCTGCAGTACAAGGTGCCCCTTCCGCCACAATCATTACATGTAACAACTATAACATCTTTAGCACCAAGGACAGGACATCCATGATCTGCGGAAATGAGCAAGGCTGTCTCCAGCTCATTTTTGTCTGTCTTGCTCATTTCTCAAAGTAAGCCAAATTTTGGAACTTCCAACCCTCCGAAATACTGTTTCACGCATTCAGAAATTTGCTTTTTAGAAGAAAATTTTCATCCCAGGAAAGAAGGATGGATCCTGTAGACAGCCCTGGTCTGCAGTTTTAAAAAATGTAATTAGTCTCGAGTGCAAGGTGCCCCCTCCGCCGCAACTGTCACATGTTACAACTGTAATGTCTTCAGCACCAAGGACAGGATACCCATGATCTAAGAACGTGAGTAGGGCTCCAGCTTTAAATTTTTGTCAGTCCTTCTCATTTGCGAAGCCCTGACATGAGCAAAATTTTGAAACTTTCAACTCTCCAAAATTCTATTTTACACACTCAAAAATTTGCTTTTTAAAGGCAAATTTCCATTGCTGGACAAAGGGACATATCCTGGAGACAGCTTAAAACAGTTTGCAGTTTTAAAAAAAAGGAACAGGTCCTGGAGACGGCCCCTGTCTACAGTTAATACTTAAAAAAAACTACAGTAAAAAAAATGTAATTAGTCTGTAGTACAAGGTGCCGCCTTCCGCCACAACCGTTACATGTAACAACTGTAACGTCTTCAGCACCAAGGACAGGGCATCCATGATCGCACCGTGTGTCACTTCTCCGTCCTAGCACCATCAATCTTATAATACCTTCTGTCTTCTGTTTCCACCACACCAACTTTACTTCCAATAACCAATTCTCGCTGGTCGCATTCAATACTGTCCACTTCATCAGTACCAAGGTCATTGCCTCTTCGTGGCTGCTAAAAGCTTTGGGAGCGGAGGCCGAGCTGAAGCATCCTTTGTGGTATTATTTCTGTCAGTCAGATACGCTGACTTTTGTGCTGTCAAAAATAGTGGGGAGGGGGGCAGTTGTGGTCATTGTGCATTAGTGCTTCTCTTTGAAATATAGCATCTTTGTGGACAACTTTGTGGCTTGTGGGGAGGGGGGCGGTTGGAGTCACTTAGTATTCTTGCTTTGCATCCGGGGGTAACTGCACCACTATAAATTACAGGGACATCTTACGGGACATGACTAAAATATCTACGATTCTGTTTTGCATTTAGCTTAAGCTTGAACCAGGTCCAGGATGTAGCTAAATGCGTAGCCTGTAATTGTGGGCAAAGGTGCGGAGGAATGGTTTGGTATGCACTACTTGCTGCAGATAATGGGCATTCCCACCTGACAATATGTCATTACCTTCTAAGTAGTGACAACAATTTGGCAACCTGGTATTTGCTTCTTTGTAGTGTTTAAAGTTAGCAACATTTTGGTCAAAAGACATGAAATTATTACAATTCTAGGTCATGTATGAAATCTAAACTGGGTGTATAATATTCTACTCCACTGTGTTCAGAATAACATCAAGATACAATGTATTCAGAAACTGACAGGTTAGCTTTATTGATGTAGAAAGTATGGTGTTGAATAAATATATTCACATATGTCACTGTGTGTGCATTGTGATGCTAATGTTGTAGGGATCCTTATCCTTTTAATTATCATTTTCCATATACCATCATTTCTATTTATTGGCATGCTGGGAAAAGTTCATAATATCATCTATGAGTAGTTTATCTTTCAAATCCACAAATTTCCTGGTACACAATCATACCAATATCTACTACCAAAAGTAATAAAAGTCATAAAACTCGTTGGTATCAGTCGAGTTATAATTAACTCTTTTGTTCTGAACAGCTTGCCATTTCTTCTGCAGCTCCGCTTATGATACGTTATAAGATGTTATTATGCTTATTTCAGTCGTGTAGTAATTACTAGGCATCCCAGAAATTCCCTGGAAATTATGTCACAAATTATCGCAAAGTTATGACTCTATTAATCATCATCTAACTGATATGAAACACCTTACTAATTTCAGCCTGTGTCTCGCTTAGGTGCGGCCGCCCGCTGAACTGACGGCGTCAACGAAACCGGAGGAATAGTGGGACAAATCGATGCCGGGGTAGCGTCCGCGTGTGTGTCCGCATAGACCTGCCATTCATGCTGCATTATCATCATCTCGTGTCTCCAGAGGCTGCTACTGAGGGGTTAAGTTTTAAACGTGAGGAGATGGCGGCCCAGTAGCAGAGGTTCATTACGACGGCGAGGATGGAAATATGGGACCACCATGTAATCTAGCTTCAGGGAGCATGTGATGAGTAATAAAGCGCATGCTGCAAGGGGAGATTGACTGCACTTTAGGGTATTTGCATAGAAATTAACATTTGTGGCACAAGCGAGGGAGATACAGCGAGTAACCATGGGGAGCGATGCGGCTGCATTTGCTTGGTTGGTCCTGCTGGCCGGGGTTTTGCTGTCCGATGGCTGCCCGCGGAAATGTACGTGCCCGACTCAGTACCTGGCGGTGTACTGCGAGGACACGGGATTGACTGCCGTTCCGGATGGCATTCCGAGTAACACGCGATTATTGAGTCTTCACAACAACAACATTACCGTCATCATGAAGGACCAGTTTAAACACTTGGTGGATTTGGAGACCTTGCAAATGAGCCAGAACAAGATTAGTGACATTGAAGTCGGGGCCTTTACCGGGTTAGACGCTCTCAAGACACTGGAGTTGTACTACAACAAGCTGGAGAAAGTGCCAAGCACAGCGTTTGCATACCTGCCCAATCTACGTGAGCTCTGGTTGCGTGGAAATCCGATCAAGAGGATAAATTCTTGGGCCTTTGTTCACGTGCCAACGCTGACGTACCTGGATATAGGGGAGCTGAAGGACCTGGAATTTATCTCCGACAACGCATTTCTAGGCTTAACCAAGCTGCGGTATTTAAACATGGGTGTGACCAATCTCAAGAAGATGCCTGGAATTAGGCACCTGACCAACTTGGAGGAGTTGGATTTGTCTGGGAACCCCATTGCCGTCATTGAAGCTGATCATTTCCAAAGTCTTCGAAATCTTCGCAAGTTATGGCTCACTTATATGCAGATCAACACGGTAGAAATGAACGCACTGGATGAGTTGGTGAGCCTGTACGAGCTGAACCTATCGTACAACAACCTCACCATGCTACCTTACAATTTGTTTTCGCCTCTGCCCAACCTTCAGAAAGTCTTTCTTCACCACAACCCCTGGAGGTGCCACTGTGAGATTTTGTGGCTCAGTCAGTGGCTGAGAGACAACATTCCTTCCAACCGCTCCTGCAACCCGTGCGCGCAGTGTGCGTTTCCCGACGAGCTACGCGGAACCTACATCGGCGACGTGTATGATTCCAACTTCACGTGCGCCGTTCCGATCATCGAGACCCATTCGCGGGATATCAACATCACGGAGGGGAGTAACGCGGAGTTGCGCTGCACTTCCGGCCGGGAAACCGCCATCTCTTGGATAACTCCTAACGGGACCACCGTTACGCACGGATCGTACAAGGTGAAGGTGAAGGTTCTGAGCGATGGGACTCTCAACATCTCCAGTGTGACTGTCAGCGATTCTGGCAAGTATATATGCGTGGCAGAAAACCCTGTGGGGAATGCTACAATAAGTGTGGTGCTGACTGTCAATGGCACTGGGAATATATCCTTCACTGTGACCAACAAAACTATGCCTGGAACGGAGAGTTCCTTCAATTTGCCTACAGATTCAGCCAAACCAAAACCGCCGCAGTCCACGCCTCCGAACGTAAAGGAACCCGAATCAGAAGGGACTAACGGCATTCCGAAGGTAGACGATGTCATTGTTACAACCAAAATCATCATTGGCTGCTTTGGTGCCATAACATTAGCAGCCATATGCTTACTCATTGTATACTACAGGATGCAGAGGAAAAAGAAAAAGAAACCGAAGCCGCAGAATCGGTCGTATTATAAAACAGTAGACCTAGTCAATATAGATGAGCTATGTCCAGACAGCCCAAACTCGATGGGAAAGTCTATTAACACTACGTCTAACTCGTTGAACACTCACACATCTTTGTCTATGAACAACATGAGTACCTTTACATCATTGCACACACTTCCTCACGAGAACTCGTCTCAGACGCTTCCACGAGACGGAACCTTGCACTCTATAACAAAAGACGGACTCCTGCATAACCTTTCCGACAAGGCGATCGCCACGTACAACACCTACGCCACTCTACCGAGGGATCCAACCACAGAGAGTATAACAGAAACACAGTTGTAGTAGTTACTCAAAAGTGCAACCTGTGTTATATAAGTCATAGCATTAGCTGACTGTGACGGGCAGTTACTTCTTCTGTACATAATGTATGTATCTCGTTCAATGTATTTTTGTGTCTAATGCAGCAACTTAACCGTGGCGCTAACGATTCATCATTATACTGTTCCAATGTGGTGCGCAAAGTTACTGGTTATAGAATTCAATTTCAATGAAATTGTCCCTATTGCCACAATTCATGGGGTACTTAACAAGAGTGGAAAAAAAAAAGACTGTGTCTTTTTAAAGCAGTGCAGTCAAAATATTGTCCAGTGCTGGTTGTAGAAAGATTTTCCAGGTATATACTGTTGCTGTGACGGACATATTTGGACATCGAAGTGCGGTGCATGTTTGTTATTGAGTTTTATGAGGATCAAATGTGTCAAATGTCGACAGATGAAATGATTTCTTTTTTTGTGACTGCTTGCAAACCCTATTACCTAACACAGTGCGTGTCGCAACAATTTACCATCACCGAGCCTATTGCCAACTCGTAGTAATAAAAGGCATTATTGAAGCACATGTAAATGTATAAGGGGTTCTACATGTGTACCTATCCGAAAACACCGACAATTCTGCCTTTTTTTCGATGACTTAAAGATATGAATGTGTCAAACGTGTAGAAAACAAGCATACAAAACAGAGGATCATATTTTGATATTTCCGACGTATAGATACATGTAAGTCGAACTAGGATGCCACAACACCAGTGGTAGAAGTGGCTGTACACACAAAACCTGTATAGAGAAAATGTCTTGCATCAAGTGAACTGGTAATATATTGTTCATACATGTACAACTGCTTCACCTTTCTTATTACGGCAGTAGTGTAGAGTTTATAACCGACACTAATGTACCAAATATACATGGGGGGCACGTATCAGCCGCCTTGATCCTCCGGAGCGTTGGGACGTACGTTTTCCGTGATTGATTACGGTCAAATACCCACTTGTCGATAGTGCGAGAAAATAAACCATAATTTTCAACATCAGCAGTCGATAATCCGACATGACTCTGATTAAGTCCCAGGAGATATGCCCTGTTGATGCACCGTTCTATAATGTCAATATGTTGTTCTCTGGGTTTTCCTGGGAAAGAATTGACTACTGGTATTCCGGGTGGGTAGACATTTAATGACTATTGGCTACACGCACGTCAGCAATCCTTATGGGGATGAAGCAAAAATTTTATGAAAGTCAGCACTAAAATTACACATTTATCAGGTGTTTACCATAAAAAATTTCCATATGTTGGAAAAGATAATCTTTCTTAAATGAAGAAAATTTACCAGTAATAAATAGCAATCCTTATGGGGACGAAGCAAAAATTTTATGGAAGTCAGCACTAAAATTACACATTTATCAGGTATTTCTCTTGGAAGAGATTATTAAAACTAAGAAAAATCTCCATTTGTTGGAAAAGATAATCTTTCTTAAATGAAGAAAATTTATCAGTAATAAATTGCAAGCCTTTTGGGGAGGGGCAAAAATTTTATGAAAGTCAGCACTAAAATTACGCATGTATCATGTGTTTCTCAAAGAAGAGATTATTAAAACTAAACCCCAATCCTTTTGGGGAGGGGGCAAAAATTTTATGGAAGCCAGCACTGAAATTACGCATTTATCGTTTTTTTTATCATAGAAGAGACAATTAAAACTAAGAAAAATCTCCATATGTTGGAAAAGATAATCTTTCTTAAATGAAGAAAATTTACCAGTAATAAATAGTTACCAATCCTTTTGGGGAGGGGGCAAAAATTTTATGAAAGTCAGCACTGAAATTACTGCATTTATCGGTTGTTTATCATAGAAGAGATTATTAAAACTAAGAAAAATCTCCATATGTTGGAAAAGATAATCTTTCTTAAATGAAGAAAATTTACCAGTAATAAATAGCAATCCTTTTGGGGAGGGGGCAAAAATTTTATGAAAGTCAGCACTGAAATTACGCATTTATCAGTTTTTTTATCATAGAAGAGCTTATTGAAACTATTGAAATTCATTACTGTAATTCCTGATTTGTTCACTGTACTGATAAGTTCACTGTTTTCACTGTTGCTTCTGTACAGTGAACTTATCATTACAGTTAACAAATAATTCCTGGACTTTCTTTTTCCTACACCTGTCACCACCGTGAACATATAGTTCCGTGAACATGTCCATTTTTCTCAGACCGTGAAATTTTGCTACCGTGAACATAAAGTGAATTACAGTACCTCCATAGTATATTGGAAATTTAAAGATAATCTTCCTGAAATGAAAAAAATGTAAACGAAGACGACAGAGACTTGTAATAAATGTTATAACGAAACCATGCATGTCTTAAGTCAATAAACGACTTGATTGCAACAGTAACATTGCCCACTAATTAGGTACCTACTTTAGCAGAAATCCCCTAGGAATGGATTTCTTTCGCTCCGAGTTCTGTTTGGCTGTTAGCCAATTCAAATTAAAACTTCCTGTATTGTTACTACATCACTGCAGGCAGTTATGTTTTGCTTTCTCCTAATTGGGCAACAGATAATTTTTTTCCTTCTTTTACATTCTGGACATATTTGTTTGATTTGATTCCATTTAACTGTTATCCAATTCAAATTAAAACTTCCTACTGTTTTTTTTTAAATATTGTATATACAGCATTATATACATGTAGTACAGTTTTATTCTGATTTTTTTTAACTGGGCAACAAGCATAATACATTTACATTTTATGAACAATTTTTCCTTTTCTTGTATTTTGTGCATTTTTTGCCTTTGTTGGAAAGTTGCCTACTGAGTCCAGTAACTGTGTTAAACATTAAGCCAAGAAGACATCCAAATAGTACAGTGATGAACTTAATTCCAACACAATGGTACACAAGGATCAAATTTTCAATGACCACTGTCGCCTTCATCAGGACAATAATTTGAACCTTGTGTACCATTTGTGTTGGAGTAAAGTTCAGCATTGTACTATCATGATTACTACCAACACAGATGAAGTTCCATGATTAAGACTGTTAGTAAATGGTGGGTTTGGCTAAGGGAATCTTAATTGAAAGATGCACACACACAGCAGCGTTCTCACCAGGATTTTTTCACAGCACAGGGGTCAGGTACAGAAGGGCAACTTTTGCAGTGCAAGTCACGTGTTGAGTCTCCAAAACATGACCACAGTAGGGGGTCGGGTATTCTTCCTGAAAAACTTTGAAACTCATAACCCCCTGAGACACTATTTCTTGCTTAATGAGGGACAGATTTTGTGAAGTTAAGGTTTCCCTTTGCTGTAGCTTCAAAAGTTATATTTTCATTTCTTGCAAGATTTACGACTTCAAGGACCTCCCCCCAAAAAACACCCCAATGCTGGTTGAAAGACAGGCAGTTCACGGCATTGGGGGTCCAAATCACAGCATAGGGACCCTATGCTCAAAAGGCCTGGCAAGAATACTGTACAGTATTAGCATAACAGCTTCCCTTCAGGTGTGGTTAGGGACAGACCTTTCTGCAGCAGGCCTGTAGTGAACATACAGCAACACCAGACATGCTGAGCAGTTCTACATGGCCAGGCTGTATCGATCTCTGTCTGCGAGGCACCCAGCCAGTCTGGGGTACGGCTCATCTCCCAAGCCCTTCAGAACCTTTATTGACATCACATGTTCCTCCTGCCTTTAATGTGTGGGCTAACTTTCACCATAATTGCAAATTTGGGCCCGCTCCCAGTAGCATGCAAGAAATTCAGTCCTAACAGCACAGAATGAGCTCATATATTGGCATAGTGGTGAGAAATCTTATCCATCTAGTTCTATAGCGTAAGTTTGAGGTCTCCAACCCCTGGTCTGTAGGTGTAAGATAAGGTGTCGTCTGTGTTATACAATTACACACTAGCTGCTTCCAATGCGGCCAATGGTGTATAGAGATCCACCTGAGACAACGAGAGTGATTTTAACGACTGCTCTGGGAGAGACTTCGTATCGGAGGCAGCAATCGATAAAAAAACTTGCAGGTCAACAGTTATGATGATAATGTAGGAAGAGGCCAGAAAGTTTTGAATTGTGCCCCCCTCCCCACTAAGTCATGCATGCAGAAAAAAATGGTAGCAAGCCGCTGCAATTGTCAGAAATGCCATAAGGTCTTATCTCAAATCAAGGCATTTGACTGTGACAAACTTGTTTAAGTCAACATTGATGCAAACGTAACAGTCATTCTTCACCTTTCAGGCAAAAAGGCAAGATGAGTTATACATCCTGACGTCAAGCAGAGTAGCTGAGTTTGACCTTATCACTCTTGCTGGGAGGTAAAAGGAAAAACGCTGCAGTTTGGGGCAACAGGGTGACCTTTGTTGGAACATGACCTTGGGTAAGTGAACATGGCAGCGGACAGGTTGATCGGTAACAGACTTGCCAACACACTCAGCAGTGAGTCTTATCAGCTTTTTGTCCCCCTGATAAAAAGTCTGATAATGTTTCCTGCTGGGAGAGCAGACAGACCGCAAAAAACTGCAGCTCTTTCCTGTCCAGATCATGTTCTTGATAAGATGTGGTGAGTGGGTTTTTACTGACTCCAACTTGATGATTTACTAGTACATAGGAGTGGGCTTACAAACCACACCCGGACTCACAATGGCAACTGAGGTCAAGGTTTTTGTCAAGAACAATGGACGAACATCATCATCACTATTATACATGTACTTGTTCACATACGAGACATTAAAAACAAGAGATTTCAAGTCTTTCAGGAAGTGTGCAATGTACATGTACAATCCTCCTGGGCTTCCTGATTTCCCCCATGTCGACCTCTAATTCCTGCCGTCTCCCTGGCCAGATTCTGAGATCTTTCACTTCCTGTCTGTCAATCTTCCCCACCCATGTGCTGGCACAGAATTCCCTGATTTCCGTACTTTGGCTTAACCTGACAAACGGATACACAAATCAACAGCTCAGTTACCCAAAACAATACTTCAAACAAGTACTGCAGCACAAGCACGTCTAACCATCGGAAGACGGGGAACAACAGACGATAAACCGGACAGTGAATGTGTTTAAATACTGGTAACAGTGTAGCATTTCACGAATAGCTGCTAACCTTGGAAATTACATGTATCTCATTTATTCTCAAAAATCATGATTGAAGACATCTCCTGCTGTCTTCCCTATTCTTGATATTATAAGACTCTTATTATTTCCACACAGGGGTCCCAAAATGCCTTAACTCAGAAATCAGTCCTTTCACACAGATATGGGATGCAGACTGCATGACAAACACAATCTCCATCTTGAAATACTGTAATGTCCTACTCTTCATGTGCACGCTTCAGGTCATAAAAGCCTGGAGCCCTCTAAAACATACATTCTCCATTCACTTTTGAAGAAGGATGTGTTTTGCCGAGGGGCAGTAATACCAGCAGATACATTTGTACAGATACAGGAGAATAGGGCGATACAGTGTTCTATATAATGTACATGTAAAACTGTAGGTTCTGAGGGACTATAAAGTTAATTTCTGACTTGATGGCAGCAGTTAAAATGATAAAACTCTCACACAAAGGAATACATGTAGGTTTGGCCTATGATTGGAATATCTCTTTAGCAAGAAATCATATTCTTCTTTTTGCATGACCACTATGCCTGTGTTCATACTGTAGCACAAAAATCAATTACACATGTAGGTACAGGTCCAAGATGCAGAATCACCATGGTAAGTACCGGTACTGTACCAATATAAAGTTACACTACCATAAGTAGCCTCATGCGACACAGAGGTGACCAAAGTGACATCTTCAGGGAGCATACATGTACGTAATACACAACAGATATTGTGGAACAGCCAGAGCATCGTTGGAAAGTAGGGATGCAAAAAGAAACACTCAAAATGTGGTTCTGTTTTGTTTAGATAAGACATAAGGCTACCTAATTTTTGTCAGGTTTTATTTGAATAAAGATTCTGTCAAGTTTATTACAGTTTCTATCATATTTGAAGAAGTTTAAAAGTTGCTCTGGTACAGCTACAGGTCTAGACCTGTGCCTAA